TTCAGTAACCAACAAACATATAAGTTTTCTTCATCAGCGATCCTTCCCCATTGTTTCAATCTGTATAATAAAGAGGTAATAAGCAAACTGTCTGTTACAGTGTCACAGTAAGGACAGTTTACATACTGACAGGCTCGCATGAGGGTCGCTTTCCTGCCTCGGCACCAGAGTCCTCCTTTCCTCCGGGTGCACGGTAACAAACACCATCGCCCATCTGAGAGCACTCTGCCCGGGGACCCCACCAACTCCCCCTGAGGTGGGGAGCTGAGGGGGACACCCACATGGCAGAAGGCGGGTTCCCGGGCGCGGTCCGCAGACACCAACCAGGAGGTGTGTGCATCTGCGGTGACCCAGGGAGGGGTCAGCACACCAATCCAGAGGGTGTGGACCCAACACCACTCAGGAGAGTGCACAGGTGACCCCGCACCACAAGGAAGCCCTCCATTCATCTGCGGGTCCCACCCAGATGGGGCTCGCATCCTGGGTTAGGGTTAGGGAGCCGTCCTGAGGCCAAGCCAGGCGACAGTGCCTGCGAATTCCAGAGGGGAGCCTAGGAAGCCGCTGGAGTCATGGGGGGGGGGGGGGGGGGGTGGTGGCAGGAAAGGGCTCCGCGTCCCCCACTTCAGCTCTCAAGGGAGAAAAGCTCCGCACTGAATGCAGCGGCCCGCCCGCGATGGACGCCCCTGGCCCAGGCGCGGGACCCTCCCGGACTCGGAGGGGGAGGAGCAGGCCATGGTAGTCAGGCACAGCTGCGTCGTGGCTCCGGCCCTCGAAGCCGGTGCGAGAGGGCCCGAGGGCCCAAACAGAGGCCGCTAGGGGCCCAGAGAGGAAAGCAGTCAGCGCTAAGGATGAAAAGCATAGGGTTTTAGTTAGCCTGCAAAAGGGTAAAAGGGTGAGGGAGGAGCGGGAGGATGGGGAAGAGGGGTGGAGGAAGGGAAGAACATTTTAAAGAAGTCAGCAGAAAGCAGAGTTAAAGAAGGAAAGATAATGTATGAGCGAACTGTAGGAGCTGTAATGAAAATCAAATGTAGTTGTGTACCGGGGACATATTTTTAAAATAGGAATCAGAAAAGAAAAAAGATAAGTGATAGTGAATAATTAGTCAGGTAGATAGATATTAAAACATTGGAAGTAAGTAGAGAAGAATGTATGAGAAAGACAGAGGGAGGGGAGAAAAGTTTTAAAGGGGAGCCAGTAGAACTTAAAAGGAGAATGGGGAGAAGGAAGAAATGGGGGAGGGAGCAAAGCAGATCCAAGGGAGAAAGTGAAGAAAAATATGAAGGTGGGAGGGAGGAAAGGGGAGGAGGGCAGGGTAAAGATAAAGGAAAGAAGGAATGTGGGGAGGGAAGGAGGGAGGGTAGGAGAAAGATGGGGAGAAAGGTGATTGGACAGAAGTAGGAAATAAGGAGAAAAGAAAAGTTCAGTAGGAAAAGGTGTTACATAAAGGATAGAGAAAAATTGTAGGAGAAGCCAATAAGGAAGTCAAATACAATTGTGTGTGAAGGGGATAAGATTTTTTTTTTTTAAGTTAATAGCAACCAGGGCAGCAGGGGAGGGCAGTTAGGGGTGACCATGCTGGCAGGGGAGGGCATTTAGTGGGATCAGGCCGGCAGGCAGAGTGGTTAGGGCAGGCAGGCAGGTGAGCTGTTAGGAACCAGAGGTCCTGGATTGTGAAAGGGATATCCAACTGTCAGTTTAGGCTGGATTGGCAGTTGGCCATCCCCCCAGGGTTCCTGCATTGGAGAGGGTACAGGTCGGGCTGAAGGACTCCTCCCCCTGGTCCTCTATAATATGCCTATGGCATATATGTGCATGTATATACTTACTTAGGTATATATTTTCTGCACTTTATAAAATAGCTGTTTAGACACCTCAACTTAATATGTCTTTTACTGATTTTTATAGAGAGAGGGAGAGAGATAAAGAGAAACACCGATGAGAGATAAAGAGAATCATTGATCGATCCACTGCCTCCTGAACACCCCACACTGGGGACTGAGGCCACAAGCCAGGGCATGTGCCCTGACCAGAACTGAACCATGACCTCTCAATTTCTGGGTCCACACTCAACCGCTGAGCCACACCAGCAGGGCAGACACCTCAACTTAAATATCCCATTATAATGTCACATTTACAAGCCCCAAACTGAAGGCATTAATTCCTTACCCAAACCTCTTTTCCTCTCCCATCCCGTCATTATGTCACCACCAGCTCATTACTCTATCGGAGAAACCCAGCAGCCACCGCATTCTCCCATTCACCCCTTCCACCATCGCTAGACTCCCCTGACCTGTTCCTGCCTGTAATTAGTGCAAACACCTGCAAGGAAGCCTTTCTGTGCAGGGTTTAATATTGCCACGCCCTCTCCAAAAATCCCCCCTTCCTACTGCTCTCAGGGTGATCTTTCAAATGTTAAACAAAAACAAAAAGCAACCTGTAAAAGGTTCAAAATGCGACCCACGCCCCCTCTCCTGCCTCACGCCCCCCTCGGGCTGCTCACTGCACCCTCTTTCCGCAGCGAGAGCCCTGGACGGCTGCCCGCGGCCGACCTGTCCCCGCGGTCCCAGGCGGGAAGCCACCCGCAAAGACGGGAGATTACGGGCTCCACGTGGACGGAGTTGCCTGAACTAATGTTTATTTCCTAGGACGGCATGCTGCCAACAAGAATCGCCTCACGTTGTCCCTCCTGCGGGCCCAGCGGACAGGAGATGGGCGGCCGCTCTCCTCCCGGGGCGGGGCGCCGCCCGCCTCAGGGCACGGCCGCGCCTGGGGTCCCGCGGGCTGTTCCTGCGGACGCGCCCCGCGCTCTGCGAGCCTCTCAGCACCTCGGACACCGCTCCGCACTCAAGGCCTAGGTCGTGGTGGCGCCCCCTATCCCCGCCCCTTGGCCCCGCCCACAACCTCACCTCCGCCCTCCACAGGCCAACCCACCCAGCCGCCCTTTGCCCCGGCCCCGCGCTCTTTGCCCCGCCTACAAGCCCGCCACGCCCACAAGCCCGCCGCCGCCCAATCGCTCTTTGCCCCGCCCACAATCCCGCCCCGCCCAATCACTTTTTACCCGCCCACAAAGCCCGCCCCCGCCCCATTGCTCTTTGCCCGCCTACAAGCCCGCCCCGGCCCGCCAAGTCGCCCCGGCCCCGCCCCCAATCCCGGCCCCGCCCAGTTTCCCTTGGCCCCGCCCATAACCCCGCCTCCGCGTCCCTCAGGTGCCCTCGGCCGGGTCTCGACTCCCCCGACGCCCTGCGGAGGCCGTTCCCCAACGGGCAGCGGTGCTGTGGGCCGCCGCGCCGGGGCTGAGCTGGCGACCCCACTGCCGAGTCCGGAGTGGAGGCGGTAGGTGTCGGAAGCCGCGCTGCGCCGGGCAGAGGCGCTGGGAGGCGGAGGCGCCGGGCGGACGGAGGCGCTGGGAGGCGGAGGCGCCGGGAGGGCGGAGGCGCTGGGAGGCGGAGGCGCTGGGAGGCGGAGCCGCCGGGCGCCGTTTGCGGGCCGGGCCGCGGGGCGGGGGGCGGAGGGCGAGCGGGGTGGAAGGAGGAGGGCCCGGCGCCGGCGCAGTCCCTGCCAGTCCCCGCTGAGGCCGGGAGAACCGCCCGAGCGGGGCCTCCGCAGACGAGGTGCCGCGCCCCCGGCCCAGGAGGCGGGGCAGGAGCCATACCTCGTCCCCCCGCCGCCGCCCTCCCCGATCGGGCAGAAGGGCCCCCGCGGCCGCGGGCCTCACTGGCGGGCGGAGAGCAGCACCGCGTGGCCGTGAGGAAGACGCGGCGGGAAAGAAGGACCGAGCGCCGCGGCGGCCCTTCGCCGGGACCGCGCGCGGGTGCCGGACCCCCGCCTGCGCCTCCCGTCGGCGGCCGGCGCTGAGCGGCGGCGCCTGGGCGGCTCCGTGCGGCCGCGGGCGCTCCGTCCGGCAGCCGCCGGGCGCCGGGGCGCGGACGGGGGACACGCGGGACGGGGTTCGCGGCCGGGACGCGCTCTGGCTTCCTCCTTTGGATGTTAGTGTCGGCTTCCCAGGCGAGCCGCCCGGTGAGAAGGCCTCACCTGCCCGCACGCTGCCCGACTGCCTCTGCTCTTGGTGACTTGGTCTCGGGGTGCGCCCCCCTCGGGGCCCCACGGGGTCCGCGCCCATGGGGCGGCGCTCGCCGAGCCGATGCCGGGAGGAGCCCGGGCGCTGCGGCCCACAGCAGCACTGGGTCCCAGGACCCCGACTTTGCCAAAGAGCCGCTTTGGAGTGGGAAATGGGGTGGAATCTTAAGTGGTTGTCATGTGGGAATAGACACGAGGTCGATGAAAGCCTGGCCTTCTACTTAGCTTGCTTCTTTAATCTTACATGAACTTATTTCTCCTTTGGAAGGTAAGTCTTAAAAGAACGTGTTGCTTGACTTGTGAGTCACAGGCATGAGTTCGATTTGCTGTGTTGAACTTGAGGTGTAAGATAAGATATAAATGAAAAAACCTTTGGGAAGTTAGAGAAATAAATGAATTTACAAGAAGAGGATGCTGGCTATGGCCATCCCATGCAGGTAGTTAGTTGGATAATGAGGGTGGGTGAGGTCAGCCGAGAGAACCAAAGCCACCTTGGAGAGAATCCTACCTTTCCTTGGCATGAGGAAGAAGAATGGCCGAGGAAACCAGGCGAGGTGATTAAGGAATCCTATCTAATAATCCTATCTAATAAAAGAGTAATATGCAAATTGATCATCACTCCAACACAAGCTAGCTGCCCCCATTTGGTCAAAGATTGCCACCACAAGATGGCCAGCAGGAGAGGGGTGACCAGACCTGCAGGGAAGGGCAGTTGGGGGGGGGGGGGGCTGCCCAGGCCTGGAGGGGAGAGAAGTTGGGGGGCACCCAGGACTGCAGGGGAGGGCAGTTACGGGTGACCAGCCAGCAGAGGAGGGAAGTTAGGGGCAAACAGGCTGGCAGGGGAGCAGTTAGGCATCAATCAAACTGGCAGGGGAGTGGCTAGATGTTGATTAGGGTGGCAGGCAGGCAAGCAGTTGGGAGCCAGCAGTCCTGGATTGTGAGAGGAGTTCCATACTGGAGAGGGTGCAGGCTGGGCTGAGGGATACACACCCTCATGCATGAATTTCATGCACGAGGGCCTCTAGTTAGGGAATAAAGCAGAAGAAAAGCGGGAAGGAAAACTGCACGAGGGACTGCTCAGTGTGGCAGATGCTGTGGTCACATTTGTTTTCCATGCTGCTCTTATGTTTCCACCCTAACTTATAAAATCTTCAAGTGAATGTTGTGGTTATTTGCATATATGTTAAAGCATATAGGTTATCTTGTCCAAAAGATAAAAATGTACATTTCCCTTCTAAAGTATGGAACCTCAAGGTCTTTGTGATAATGGAAACCAAAAAATTGATTGGTAAATCGCTTCAACCAGCAAGACCTGTTCGACATCTGGCTTCTCCCTCTGGTGAGCAATGTCAGGCACACACCTTTAAATATTAATTGGTTAATGGCTAATTAGCATTTAAAAGGCTAAATTATACATAAAGTAATTTTGTATGGTGAATATTAAAGAAATAATGAAAACTAATGATCTCCCAGAACACTTTAAAAAGTACCGTATTTTTCGGACCATAAGACGCTCCGGACCATAAGACGCACCAGTTTTTAGAGAAGGGAAATGAAGAAAAAAAGATTCTGAAACAAATAGTATCCTAAAATATTTTATGTGCATTAAAACCCAACATCACAGTCATAAACACATGTAATCAACCCTGTAAAGTAAACAGCAGCATTTAGAACCATTTTAGAGCCGGGCAAGCACACAGAGACCACACAGAGCCGGGCAAGTAAAAAAACTTTTTTTTTTTAAGTATATGTGTAGGCTATATTTGCACCATAAGACGCAGGGACTTTTCCCCCCACTTCTGGGGGGAAAAAAGCGCGTCTTATGGTCCGAAAAATACGGTATTACCAAAGGAAAGGGTTCTTAATAGTCTACCACAGTGTTTTTCAACCTTTTTTTGGGCAAAGGCACACTTGTTTCATGAAAAAAATCACGAGGCACACCACCATTAGAAAATGTTAAAAAATTTAACTCTGTGCCTATATTGACTATATATAAAGTAATTCTCTTGAATAGGAATCAAATAAACACAAAGAAAGTATTTTATAATTACTTTATTATGAAATATTAAGTAAACAAAATAGTGAAAAATTATAAAATTCTTGTCTGCACCTACGGCACACCTGTGCCGCGGAACAGCGGTTGAAAAACGCTGGTCTACCAGACCAACAAAAGTAGGAATAATAAACCTGATGTGAGAGCAACTTTGTGTATTTTTTATTTTAACTTTCGTGGTTAACTGGCTCCTGTGTAAAATGGCCCAAGTGTAAATTGTGCCTGTGGTTAGGATCACTGCAGTACCGTCATGCTGGAGAGAGAATTAACCTTTAAAAAAACATACCCAACTGCAGAGAGAGAGAGATAGAAAGAGAGAGAGAGATTAGTACCAAACAAGACTGTGCTTGAATTGGGGCATACAATGTAATTATTCAGGAAATCTAAACTAACAAAATATATCTAAAATTAAGAATTTTTTTTGCTAATAAAACTAATCTTTTGAACAATTCTTGAAATACTTGGTTTTTAAGTCCTACATTGAAATATTAGCCATTTAATGCTTTTCATTACTTGTTGTCAGAACAGCTTCTATATTCTCTGCTCTTTTTAGTCCATGTGTTTAACTAAATAATGGGCTCCTCAGAGATAGGAAAACAGCCCTTTTATCAGGTTCAGAGGTGTAGAGGGAAGACAGGCGGGCACCGAGCCCTCAGGCCTCCTTTCCCTCCCAGCATGGCTCCTGCCAGGAAGACCACTTGGTCAAGCTCCTCTGGAGATGCTTGGACTTGGGACTCAGAGCAATTGAGCGTCTCCTGAACTGGGCTCAGCCCTGCTGCTGCTCCTGGCGCTGAGGAGGGCTGGGGGTCCCGATAGGTGGGGTCCCGAGGGAAGAACACAGCCATCCTCACCTGTGCAGATTCAGGCTCTCTGGCCTTCCCTCCAAGGCCACTGCAGGGGTCCGTTACGGGGAGGGGACCCGGTAGCCCTGATCCCTCATGAGTTCTGTCCTTTCAGGGTCCAGACAAGAGAGGGTTCTATTAGGCAAAATTTAGTAAATCAGAAGTTATTCTGGCTTTTCTCAACATACCTCTGCATTTCTTGTCTATTTCACGTCCCCAAAGAAATACTTTTCTTTAAGACCCAGATTTAATTATTTTCTTAATGAAGACTTGCTGAAGCCTCTCCGCTCTCCCTTGCATTTTCTCTGTACATCTCATATGACTTGTTTTTATTGGCATTATTTATGAGCTTGTGCTTTAAAATAGACTGTGGACTCTCTTATTTCTGAACTCTTTTCACACTTACATACCTTATCAAACACAGTGGCTGACGTTTCATAGTATTGAATAAATGAACTATCAAAAACCATTTTAAAACAGTGCTTAGAATATTCTGGGCAATTAAAAGTTTTTAGGTATTAGTATATCATTTATTGAAAGCATGGATATTTAAAATAGTTTTCTTTTTTCTCTCCTAACAGGAGCAGTATTCCCTTTCAACTTTCAAAATGAATATCCATGCAACACTCAATACTTGCAAAGTGGAGTTAGCCGAGTAGGTCTTAGAAATTATGATGGTAACATGAAGCGTTACAGGCTGGAAAGTAACATTCGTCAGAGTACTGTTGTGTGTCAGCTACTTTGCTAAGTGCTTAAATACTTTTTAAAACTTTATATTAATTTCAAGTATTTTAAAAAAGGATGAAACTCACTATACTTGTTGCCCAGCATTTTCAAATTGAAACCTTTTGCTATATTTTAGAAAATTTTAAAAACTTTGCAGATACTTAAAACTGCCACATGTCCCTCTTCCAACCCTTCCTTCCTACACTTCTCCAAAATAACTGTCCTAGGTGCCATTGTTTCCATGATTATATCAGTTTTTTGCTACAACAAATAGAACTTTTAAAAATAATTTTATATAAATAACATTGTACCCACCTATTTTTTTATTTATTTAAGTTTATATTGTTAAAATTAAAAACAGACAAAATGGCCTTTAAGTGAAATGTTTCCCTCCAGGCTCCAAAACCCCCCCCACCACCACCACCTATTTCTTTTCACCAGAAGTAGCCATTGTACCTGTTTCTTATCTAGATACTTCCAGAAATGTTGTTCATTCTTCTAGTTTATTAAATCTCACAGTCAGTAAGAATTTGTAAGACCAAATCTTTGACATTGTCAAAATTCTGTTTTCTTCTGATGACTTAGTCTGCTGTCTCAGGAGAGTAGGTTCACCCCATTGCTCCTCATTGTGCCATAGGTTAGATGTTAACTCTCTGGCTTTAGGCAGAGTTATCATGCTAGACTTTGCAAGAATGGGCTACAACTTGCTAACAGTTACTGATAGAGCGGAAATACTCATTTTTTAGAAAATATATATATTTTTTATTTCAGGGAGGAAGGGAGAGAGAGAGATAGAAACATCAATGGAAAGAATCATTGATCAGCTGCCTCCCATTGGGGATCTAGCCTGAAACACAGGCATGTGCCCCAACTGGGAACCAATCAGCTACCATGGAGCCATACCAACCAACCGAAAAGTTCGTTGTTAAAGATAGATGTCTGCAAAGAACCTACCTTAGGTAGTTACCGTGGCTGTGGTCTGTTGTTTTGCAAATTAATTTTCATTACCATAAAGGGAGATCATTTCTAAGGGGTAGATTGTAATGACCAAGTACATGACACTGATTTGTATAATCAGAAAGCCCATTACTTTATAATGAGAGATCTGGTTGCCTTGTGCTCTGAGATTCTCTTATTGGTTCTATTAGTATATTATCTTCTTTAAGGAGATTTATGGACAGTTAAATTATAACCGGAATATTTCTTGGTGAGCATGTAATAGGGGGATTAAAATTAAATTTATTTTATCAGATTAATTTAGCAAATATCATAATAGAGATGGTCCTGCAAGTAGGACTGAAAACCTGGGCTCAGACATGTTGCTTTTTTCTTTTTGCTTCATTGGATGAAACAATATTTTCTTTTCCTTATTTCTAAGGTAGTGTGTGAAACAGTTTATATGTTTGTAACTGACACCAAGATACTACTTTACATAAAATCAAGCAAAGTAAATATTATCATATTGCAGGTTTTTGGGGATAAATATGTGTTTCCATGAATTAAAACCTATTTAAAAAAATCCTCACCCAAGGATACGTTTTTATTGATTTTAGAGGGAGAGGAAGGTAGGAGAGAAAGAGAGAAACTTCTATGTATGCGCCCTGACCGGGATCAAACCAGCAACCTAGGTATGTGCACTGACTAGGAATCAAACCCACAGCCTTTTGGAGTATGGGACGACACTCCAATCAATTGAGCCACCCAGCCAAGGCTAAAATCTGTTTTTATTTACTTTGGAATTATTTATCTTTAGGATCATATTATTCATCTTCAGTTTTATGGTCCTTTTCCAAAATAATTATAATCATGACAAAAAATATATATGTGAATATATTTTCAGAGATATCTGTATTGCTTATTTTAATAAATATACTATCATATTGTTTATCATTTAGCCAAAAAAAAAATGCCTTGACTAATACTTCGATAATTGAGGAAAATATTTTTGAATTATAGGTCTTATAAAATTTTTATACCTAATTAAAATGTGAATTTTCTTCTTCCAACAGTGTAAGGCAAATGGAATGCAGGCCTTTTCTCAGGGTCTCGGTGAGCAACCGCAACATCAGTCTCCAGTTAAAAAAGGTAACTTTTTATTGTAAGTCCAAGATTTCATAAGAGTTAGTATTTATGTGGAGTTAATTTTTGCTTTGCTGTATAGATATTTATTATAGTCTTTTGGTTGATTTATGCACATATTGGTCAAGCTGTAGACCATCATAACAATCGCTTAAGCAGGCAGAAGCTTATTGTGTATCTTCTGTGTCGTGTACAATTTTGAACTTCCATGGCATTCCTGAAGATCCCCCCGGACATGTGCAAGGTAGAAACGACCCTCCTGTGCTTCTCCTGGACCCTGCTGCTCTCTGTACTCACGGCACTTCGGACACAAGATGTGCGCCGTTTCCATGTAGCAAGCAATTTGCAAAACCACATCGGGGTTTTATAATCCAATCCAATCCTGACACTAATTCATACAGACTCCACAGGTACAGAGCTCAGTCCCACAACCACACCCACCATTTCTTCTTTTTACTTATAATCTTTGATATTGAAAGTATTATATATGTCCCCTTTTTCCCTGTTGACTTCTCCAATCCCGCCCCTCTCCCCCGCCCTTCAAGCCTTCACCACCCTATATGTGTTCCTGGGTGATGCATACAAGTTCACTGTCTGGTTTCTTCCCACCTGCCCACCCTCCCCTGCCTTCCCTCTGAGGTTTGACAATCTGTTTGGTGCTTCTTTGTTTTTCTATCTATTTGTGTTCATCAGCTTATGTTGTTCATTGGATTCCACATATGAGTGAGATCCTGTGATATTTGTCTTTCTGCAACTGGCTTATCTCACTTCGCATAATGCTCTTCAATTCCACCCATGCTGTTGCAAATGGTGTGAGTTCTTTCTTTTTTACAGCAGTGTAGTATTCCATCGTGTAGATGTACCACAGGTTTTTAATCTAATTATCTACTGATGGGTACTTATGCTGTTTCCAAATCTTATCTATGGTAAATTGTGTTGTTGTGACTATAGAGTTGCATGTGTTCTTTCTGATTGGTGTTTCAGGGTTCTTGGGATATATTCCTAGAAGTGGGTAAAATGGGAGTTCCATATTTAAGTTTTTGAGGAAACTCCATACTGTTCTCCACAGTGGCTGCACCAGTCTGCAATCCCACCAGCAGTGCAAGAAGGTTCCCTTTTCTCCACATTCTCGCCAGCACTTGTCATTTGTTGATTTATTGATGGTGGTCATTCTGACAGGTGAGAGGTGATACCTCATTGTTGTTTTAATTTGCATCTCTTTTCTGGTCAGTGACATGAGCATTTTTTCATATGTCTCTTGGCCGTCTGTATGTCTATTTTGGAGAAGTGTCTCTTTAGGTCCTTTGCCCATTTTGTAATTGGTTTATCTTCCTTTTGTTAAGTTTTATAAGTTCTCTATAAACTTCATAGATTAACCCCTTATTGGATATATCATTGGCAAATGTGTTCTTCCATGCAGTGGGCTCCCTTGTTATTTTGTGGGAACTTTCTCCTTCTGAGCACACTTGCAAGTGCTAGGACCCAGCTTGCCCAGGATTTTATCTACCTTGGCGACAAAATGCGGGTTTCCAAGACCCCCTCTTTGGCTTCAGTCATTTGCTAGACGATCTCACTTAGCACTGTCTGTTTCCTCTTTTTCCTTGGTTACTTGGCTTTCTTTTCTTGTAAGAGGAAAATTGGAAGCAAGCTTTTTGGCAGAGAAATAAGTCATTTTATAAAATAATGGACAATTAAGGGATATTCGGAAAGCGTTGAGCAGAAGTGATCTGGAAGAGTTCTGTGTTTTATAACATTTAATGTTTAATGTCCACAGAGAGAATTAAATACAGCAGAGATTTCCTATTGAAGCTCTCAAGTGTTTCCATCTGCAGGAAAAAACCAGACTTTCTGCCTGATCATCCCATTGTACTTCAAAAACCAGTAAGGAGTTTCCTCCTATTTTTTTTTTGTTTTTAGAAGTTTTTTTTAAAAAATTTTAATTTATTGGGTGTCATTGGTTAATAAAATTTATAGGTTTGAGGAGTACAGTTCTATAACACATCATCTGTACATTGTATTGTGTGTTCACCACCCCAAGTCAGGCTTCTTTCCATCACCATCTATCCCCCCTTGCCCTCTGATAATCACCATACTGTAGTCTGTGTATAAGGTTTTTTATCTTTTGCTTATGCCCTTCACATTTGTCACCCCCTCCCCTTCTCCCTCTCAGTAGTTTTCTAATTTTGTATAATTTTAATTCCAAAATATTTAATATTATCATTTTATTCACTCTCAATTTTTAAAAAAATATATTTTATTGATTTTTTTTACAGAGAGGAAGAGAGAGGGAGAGAGAGCTAGAAACATCGATGGGAGAGAAACATCGACCAGCTGCCTCTTGCACACCCCCTACCGGGGATGTGCCCGCAACCAATGTACATGCCCTTTACTGGAATCGAACCTGGGACCTTTCAGTCCACAGACCGACGCTCTACCACTGAGCCAAACCGGTTTCAGCTATTCACTCTCAATTTTTAATTGTTATCATTATGAAGCATAATGCATGAAATTACATAAATGTAAATGTATAATATAACCAATTACTGTAAGTAATTAACACACTAATGAAGAATTAGAATGGGTCCTGGCTGGTGTGAGTCAGTGGTTAGAGCATCATCCCATGTACAGAAGGGTCTTGGGTTTGATCCCTGGCCAAAGACACATACCTGGGTTCTAGGTTCAATCTCTGGCCTCAGACGGGGCACATGTCTCTCTATCTCTCTCTCCTCCCATCTTTCCCTCTCCCTACCCTAGCCTTCCTTTCATTCTGTGCAAAAATCAATGGGAAAAATATCCTTGGGTGAGGATTAATAAGACAAAATTAAAAAATAATTAGAATGGAATAGTGTTATTTATTGAAAAGAGTATTCCATATCTATACATATAAAAGCCTAAGTGACCAAATGACGGGTCACTATGATGCGCACTGACCACCAGGGGACAGATGCTCAATGCAGGAGCTGCCCCCTGGTGGTCAGTGCACTCCCACAGTGGGAGTGCCGCTCAGCCCACTGAGGGATGCCAGATGCTGCGCTCATGGCTGTGGTGGTGCGAGCCTCTCCCCTGCCTCCACGGCAGTGCTACTGAGCAGCGACAGCAGCAGGCACAGTGGGGCTGGGATGAACGGGCACTCAGCCCAGGTTCAGACTCCTCCCCAGCCACCTGCCACTTGGTGCACTACTGCCTCCCCTGAGGGGTCCCAGATTGCAAGAGGGCACAGGCCAGGCTGAGGGACCCCACTGGTGCATGAATCCATGCACCAGGCCTCTAATGCTCTTATAAAACTTCTATTGGTTTGTTTTCTAATTAAGTTCTATTATCCATCTAGAATTGATTTTGCTGCATAATGTGAGGTAAAAGTGTTTGTTTTCTTTTCCTCTCCATGTATCTTCAGTCATCCTAGCAATATTTAATGAGAGGCTAAGTCCTCTGTCATTTTTTTGTTTGTGTTGTTTTTTAAATCTTTTTTGCCAAGAGTATTGTGGATGCCCCCTTTTTCCCCATTTGCCCCCCTTCACTCAATTCACATTCTGCTCCAGGCCTTTACCATCCTATTGTCTGTGTCCATAGATAATGCTATAAGTTCTTTGGTCAATCTCTTCTTATCCCCCCAGCCCCCTTCCTTCCGAGATTCATTAATATGTTCCATGTTTCCATGCCTCTGGTTCTAGTTTATTTATTAGTTTATTTTGTTAGATTCGTTGTTTATTTATTTTGACTTTTAGATTATTGATAAGTATTTATTGTTATTTTATTGTTCATATTTTTATCTTCTCTTCTCCCCCTTCCTCCCTCCCTCTCTTCCTCTCCTCCTCTTCTCCTAATTCTGCTTTTCCTCCTCCTCCTCCTGTTTCTCTTTTTAAAGAATACCCTTGCCAAAACCAGTTTGGCTCAGTGGATAGAGCATTGGCCTGCGGACTGAAAGGTCCCAGGTTGGATTCCAGTCAAGGGCATGTACCTTGGTTGCGGGCACATCCCCAGTAGGGGGTATGCAAGAGGCAGCTGATGGATGATTCTCTCTCATCGATGTTTCTAACTCTCTATCCTTCTCTCTTCCTCTCTTTAAAAAATCAATTAAAAAAAAAAAGAATACCGTTTAACGTTTCATGTTATACTGGTTTGGTGGTGATGGGTGCTCCCTTAGGTAATGAAGTGCTTTTTTTTCTTGGTGCTTTTAAGATTCTCTTTTTGTCTTTAACCCTTTGCATTTTAATTATGATGTGTCTTTGTGTGGGCCTCTTTGGGTTCCTCTTATTTTGGACTCTTTGTGCTTCCTGTACTTGTAAGTCTATTTCTTTCACCAAGTAGGGGAAGTTTTCTATAATTATTTCTTCAAATTGGTTTTCAATATATTGCCCTCTCTCTTCTCTTCTGGCACCCACATAATGTGAATGCTGGTATGCTTGAAATTGTTCCAGAGGCTCCTTAAACTATCTTCATATTTTTTATTATTTTTCCTTTTTGCTCTTCTGATTGATTTTTTTGCTTCCTCATATTCCAAATAATTGATTTGATTCTTGGTATCCTCTACTGTATTATTGAATCTCTGTAAATTATAAGTTACTTCAGGTAGTGTATGCATAATTGCTGACTGATCCTTTTTCATGTCTTTGACATTCTCACTAAGATCCTTGAAAGTCTCACTACATCCTTTGAAGCTTTCATAAAGATCCTTGAAGCTCTAATTAATATCCTAGAGCATCCTTATAACTACAGTTTTAAACTCTGTATCAGTTTGCTTGCTTCCATTTCACTTAGTTGTTTTTCTGGTGATTTCTTCTCTTCTTTCATTTGTAACATGTTTCTTTGTCTCCACATTTTGGCTGCTTCCCTGTGTTTTTTCTATATATTAGGTAGAGTTACTATGTTTCCTAGAGTTACTATGTTTCCTAGAATTCATAAAGTGGCCTAGTATAGTAGGTGTCCTATAAGACCCAATGACTTAGCCTCCCTAGTCACCTAAGCTGGGCATTCTATGTGAGCTGTGTGCACTGTCTTGTTGTAATTGAGCCTTGATTGCTATTGGCATCACTGGGAGGAGTTGATTCCCAAGCCTTGACTTTGAGGAACAGCTGTAACTACAATGGAAGAGCTGCTGTGCAGGAGACACCTCTATGGAGCAGGACTTGCTTCAGTGGGGCTTTGATGCTGAGTCTGTCCCCTGAGAGTGTCACTTGTGGATGTATAGAGTTGTAATCTTGTGTGGTCTGAAGCTGTCCACCCGGTGCACTGGCTCTGGGGCCTCCCAGATTGTGCAAAGTCAGCCACTGCTGATAGGTGTCACAGAGTGATATGCAGATGTCTGCTTCTTGTGTTGGGCTTGAAAGTACCCAGGGGAGGCCAAACTGTGAGGTATGCTGAGTGCCAAGTCTTGGGCCCCTTATTGAGAGATATGGGACATGCTGAGTCCAACTGCTGCTTGTTTGAGAGATTTTAGGAAAGTTTTAAACCTGAGCCAGGAAAGGCCATTCATATGGAAAAGCAGCTGCAAACAGCTTGGGAGGGGCTGAAAATTGGATTGGGCAGGGTCTCAGGGAAACACCAGGGTGGAGTAAACAGTGTGTGCCAGGTTGGTGGTGATTCAAATATGGCCCCTGCCAGTCAGCTTTGTGAAGGGGAAGGTCTCAGCATAAGAACAATGAGTATCCCTGTGTATGACAAAGCTGCCTCTGAGTTCTTGCCCCAATGCCAGACAGTCCAGTTCCTCTCCATATGTTCCTGGATCCCCCCCCAAGCCACTGCCCCAGCACTGGAGCTTAGGAGGGAGTGAATCCACTAAGTCCTAGTGGTAGCTATTTAAGAGGAACTGCATGGGACTCCAGTAGCCTGTGTCACTCAGCCACAATCCTGCTGGTTTTTACAGCCTGGAGTTACTGAGACTTCTCTTTCCAGCTTGGAGCCCTGGCCTGAGGAGGTCTCGTGTGGGCCTGGCACCCATTGTCCCTCCTTGGAAGCTTCTTCAGCCAAGATAGTCCTCCAGATTAAAAAACGCCACACATTGGTGTCAGACCAGCCCATTCCGCTTCTCCACTCTTCATCTCCTCTTCCCCTCCGTCCCTCCTACTTGTCTTAATGTGCATTTTTTCTTTACTTCTCTAGTTGTAGGACTTCCATTCAGCCAGATTTTAGGTGGTTCTGAATAATGGTGGTTCTTATTTTATAGTATTTTTTTTATTGATTTCAGAGAGGAAGAAAGGAGGAGAGAGAGAATCATCAATGATGAGAGAGAATCGTTGGTTGGCTGCCTCCTGCACGCCTTCTACTGGGGATTGAGTCTGCAACCTGGGCATGTGCCCTTGACTGGAATCAAACCCAGGACTCTTCAGTCCACAGGCGGATGCTCTATCCACTGAACCAAACCAGCTAGGGCTGTTCAGTATTTTAGTTGTAATTTTGATGTGGTTGTGGGAGGCAGCAATTGCCACATTTACCTATGCCACCATTTTGGTTCTTCCCCCCTCTGCCTCTTTGTGGCTACGGTATGGTCTGTTTCTGGGCCTTCTATTCTGTACATTTATTTGTTATTAAAATACATATTTTTATTGATTTCAGAGAAGAAGAGAGAAGGAGAGAGAGAGAAACATCAATGATTAGAGAGAATCATTGATCAGGTGCCTCTTGCATGGCCCCTCCTGGGGATTGCAAGCAGGATAGCTGGGGCATGTGCCCTGATTAGAATTAAATTGTGACCTCCTGGCTCAACCACCAAGCCACACCAGTCAGGCGCTTTTCATCTTTTTATAGTTAAAAAAAGATTCATGCCACTTATTTCTTTTTAGCATATTTCTGATGTTCGTAGTCTTACAGTTCTCTGCCACCTCATCAGATTCAATCAAAATAAATACACAAGCCCTAGCCAGCTTGGTTCAGTGGATAGAGCGTCGGCCTGTGGACTGAAAGGTCCCAGATTCGATTCCGGTCAAGGGCATATGCCTGGATTGCGGGCTCGGTCCCCAGTGGGGAGCATGCAGGAGGCAGCCAATCAATGATTCTCTCTCATCATTGATGTTTCTATCCCTCTCTCCCTCTCCCTTCCTCTCTGAAATCAATAAAAATAAACAAACAAACAAATAAATAAATATACAAAATAAGTAAAACTATATTTTAGGATATTGATGGGAAGTGCATGTGTTTTAGCTTGAGTTACTGTGTGTACCAGTGTCCTGTTCAAACTCAGACAAGTCACTTAACCTTCCTGAGCCTCGGTTTTATAATGACAGATAAGAATGATGATCCGCACTAGTTAGCATTAAATTCCAACAATGTCTGAAAGTGCTTGGGATGGTGCTTATCTCTCATTAGGCACTCAGTAAATATTGACTTTCATTTCTATGGTCTTTATTTCCATAGTAAAAAACCTTCAGTTAGCGTTTTCAGAAACACCATAATGGTAAAAATAAAAAAGAAAAGGAAAGGAAAGAAAAGCAACTGGGATTCTCTTGAGAAGAGCTCAGAATATAGGTTTGCTGAGAATGGCTCATACAGATACAGACTACCCACCTGTGTTTTCTGTTTTTGAGATTTTTAACTTGTTAGACTTCATAGCCTTTTTTTCTTAATTACAAATTTTAAAATTTTTAACTTGCTCATAATATAGATCAATGCTTCTTAAAATTCCTAACTTGCACACCTCCAGCTAATTCTTATTTTTTAAAATTAAAGCAGGAATTTTAACTTTTTTTCATAATACCTTGTACACAGGAATATTTAAAGAGGATAAGTGTTCTTGATGATGCTTGAATTTTCCTACCTGTTCACAGACCTTAGGAACATATGATCCTTGGTCTGTACAAATGAATCTGGAACTTAAATGCTTTATAAAACTTACTTTTTCAATTGTAGACTTTCTACCTCTAATATTTTATTTTGTAGATAAAAGTTGAGTATACTTATTATTTTGACCAATCCTTACACATTAGAATTGACTTTAATTTTGATACATTCATTAATAACATTTAAAAAAAATTAAGTACCATATGCCGAAACTGGTTTGGCTCAGTGGATAGAGCGTCAGCCTGTGGACTGAAGGGTCCCACGTTTGATTCCGGTCAAGGGCATGTACCTTGTTTGCGGGTTTCTAACTCTCTATCCTTCTCTCTTCTTCTCTGTAAAAGATCAATAAAAAATGTATTTTAAAAAATAAATAAAATAAATTAATTAATTAAGTACTACAAAAATATAACAAGTTTGGAATACAATCTGATATATTTAAAAATGAATTACATATGTTCTATTAATCACAGAAGAATTGTTTTGTTATTTGACAAATTCCAGTTACTTTAATAGTTTCTATAGTAACATGCATTTAGGTCTATAAACACTTAGTAGGGTCACAGTATTTGGTTTGATAAAAAAAATTAGCAAAAACTGTATTCATTATGTTTATCTTTTGTAATACAGGAAAACAACCAAAGTTTTAAGGAACACTTTAAGAACAGATGACTTTGAAGATAGATAATTATTTGTTTTATGTTTTGGACACCTGCAAATGAAGTGGATCTAGTAACAATAACTGTAATGGACTGTGACAATTCAATTTATTTTTAATTTTGATGGTTGGGTATTTGGTTTCTCCTAAAATGAGAAAGAGATATTTTAAACTATAAAGAATTTTCTAATCAGCTTCAGCTTTTCAAGCACTTTCCTGAATATATTGGGAAGAAGCACATATGGCTAGCGACCTGGGAAGACTGTATTGATAACTTGCATGTACTTGCAGCCTTTTGTTTTTATCACCTGTAATAATGGAATGGAAATATAAGCTGTAAAGATCCTCAAATATAAAGAATGTGCTGGATGTGTAGATGGCACGGACTTGTTGCTAAAGTGGCTTCTGTTTCCTAATTTCAGACCAGCCTGAGGGTCTCTGCCACCTGCCGCTGAGGCTGCACCTGAGCAGGGCGGGCTCAGGGGCACGGGCTGTTTTCTTAGTCTTTGCAGAGAGATGTTTCCAATAGCAGTGTCTGTGGTTCACAATCACCAGCAAAGGGTGATAATTTGGAAACAATGGCAATGAATGAAACTGAAGGTGAAAAGTGCTGATCAGACATCATGAACAGAAGCAATTGCAAAACCCATTCTATTCCAAAGGGGAAAAATTAGGCATTGGCGAACAGCTGAGGTGCAATAAGATTCAGTTCTGTAATTTCTTTTATTTCTTATAACAAGAATTTGTATAGGTGAAGAATTGGAGGGCTTAAAAACTTTTAGTTCCTGGAATTTTTATACCATGTCTTGGAATTTGTCACTCTGGATATGACTTCTAGTCCTAAAGGTTCACTCCAGCATGGTGCCAAAAAGCATTGCTGACATAAAGGTAAGTGCAAGCTTCCCTGACTCTGGTTCTTTCAGGAGCGCTCATCCTGGGGGCTGCTGGATGTAAGGCTGCCATTTGGCTGAGAGTTTTAGATTGAATCATGAACTCCTAAAAATAATACATTTTTGTTCATTGGCCTTCAGGCTTGTTACCAGATTACAGCTTTAAGTCCATGGTAGGTCTCCCTCCTTGGTCTTTCAGTACCCACCCCACTTTTCATGGTTTTGTTCCCCAGAAAAGTAGGTAGATTGTGTTTTAAATAGAGAAAACTTCATTAACCATACATTAATTGGTCACTTTAAATTAGCCATCCATGGGGCCATTTCCCCTACTGTTTTCCCTTATAGGCTTCCGTGTGTGTGTATATATGTGTGTGTGTGTGTGTGTGTAAATACATAGATGCTCTCTCACACAAAAACTCAAATAGGCAAAAAGGTCTTTGAGTTCTAGTTAACAATACAATAGAACCTACACCAATTTGGAAGCCGCAGGGTGCTTCCACTTGGCGCTGCTGCTAAAGAGAGCACCTCCCAGTTACGCTGCCTTGCTGGCTCCCTGGGGAATTGCCTCATCCCCAAGGATGGAGTGCACTTTCTGAGTCTGACACTGAAATGGACTGGCCAGAATAACACCGTTATTGGCTATAATTTATATTTTGAAACCATTTATAACCAATGTTTCAAGAAGAGTTTGTCAACAGTCCCCTGGGTTTGAGTCTCTTCCTCCTATGTTACTATATATAATCAGAGCAAAGATGTTTATTATCTGCACATCTTTGTATATATGTATGTGTCCATTGTCCACTGATGTTCTTTGCTTGGTGTGTAAAGGAAACGTTGAGCCAGGTATTTTCCATAGTGTTTCTCCTTTTTAGAAATGACCTGAGACACATGCATGTGTATGTGTGTGCATTATGTCAGCATTTATGACCTATGTCTAGTGGGTCCAATGACAAAATTCTTTTATTCAGATTGAATGAGGACTGTGGTTATACAAAGGAATTGATAAAAGTTAATACTCGATGAATTTGAGAAAATATTTTAGGTAAAATTTTATACTTAAGAAAATTTTTGGTTCAGGCTTTCTTTTTTTCTGAATTTTCCAACAGGAAACACACACACACACACACACACACACACACACACACACAACAGGAAAATCTTACCTCACAGTTTTTTCCTGGAAGACCTGTGGTTTCAAAGGAATTTGGACTACAGAATAGTATAGTAGTTAATTTCTATATACATTGTATTTTCATTAGCAACATTTATCATCAAAATAGATTTTACTATGAAAAATATTTAACTTATGAGCTTGGACAGTGGAGTGTCTGAGGCAGTGGCAGTGGGACTGGGATGTGGTCATTCCGCTGTAAATCTGTAAACTATCTGTAACACCTGCCCTATTTTATTATTTTCCTAAAATTGGTGCTATTTTTTCTTTGTTCACTTAGATTAAAACTTTTAAAAAGTATTTGGAAATATAAATGTCTATTTTTCATTAGAAAATTTAGCCCTCCGGATCATAATGCCATAAACTAGGGGTGTCGAACTCAATCAGAGAAGGGGCCAAAATCTAAAATCCAGCCTAAATCGAGGGCCGAATGGTTTACTGAACAGTCATAAACTGTCATTGTGATGGAAACGCAGCGGAGTGCAGTGATGACAGCGCGGTGCAGGCCACATTGCAAGGCCTGGCGGGACGGATTTGGCCCGCGGGCCTTGTGTTTGACACATGTGCCATAAACTATGAACCAGATTTTTTCAAAGTTAAACTCTCCCTCCATTTTTCTTGATTTTCTTGTCTTATATCCATGGAATTATGATGGTGGTAATACATAATGATGTCACAGCCTATCTAATAAAATTAATATGAAAATTAACCATCACTCTGCTACACCCACAAGCACACCCACCAGCCAATCAGAAGCGAGTATGAAAATTAACCCAACCAAGATTGCTACAGCCACAGAGCAAACAGGAGGCTTGGGTTTCCCTGGCAATGGAGGAAACCAAGCTTTCTGCACACCCTGGTAGGCCCAGGCCTTCACTCAAGGCTACAAAGTTTCAATTATAGAAGATAAATAAATCCCAGATCCCAGGGCCTCCGCTTGGGTCGCCAGGAGGCATGACTGGCTTGCAAACCACCACAGGCCCCTCACCCAGGCCACCCCATGCCCCAAGGCTGGCAGGCAGAAGCGGTTAGGGGCATCAGGAAGGCAGGCAGTTGGGAGCCAGCAGTCCTGGATTGTGAGAGGGCTGTCCAACTGAGGATTGGGCCTAAACAGGCAGTTGGACATCCATTGAGGGGTCCCAGATTGGAGAGGATGCAGGCTGGGCTGAGGAACACAGCCGCTGTACACAAGTTTCGTGCACCGGGCCTCTAGTTACCTGTCATAGAACTGTTCAATTGGAAAAAAGCAGTTTATAATCTGACTAGAGGGCCAGTGCATGAAATTCGTGCATGCGTTGGGGGGGTGTCCCTCAGTACAGTCTGCACCATCTCCAATCTGGGACCTCTTGAGGGATGTCTGACTGCCTGTTTAGACCTGATCCTGGTAGGATAGGTCCTAAACATGCAGTTGGACATCCCTCTCACAATCCAGGACTGCTGGCTCTCAACCACTTGCCTGCCTGCTTTTCTGATTGTCCCTAACCACTTCTGCCTGCCAGCCTGATCACCCCCTAACCACTCCCATGCCAGCCTGATTGATGTCTAACTGCTCCTTTGCCTGCCCCCAACTTCCCTCCTCTGCCGGCCTGATCACTCCTAACTGCCCTCCCTTGCAGGCCTGGTCCCTCCCAACTGACCTCCACTGCTGGCCATCTTGTGGTGGCCATCTTGTGTCCACATAGGGGCTGGATCTTTAACCACATGGGAGTAGCCATCTTGTGTGTTGGAGTGATGGTCAATCTGCATATTACTCTTTTATTAGATAAATATAGAGGCTGGTGCATGGGTGGGGACCAGCTGGTTTGCCCTGATGGGTGTCCCAGATCAGGGTGGGGGTTCCCTTGGGGCATGGGGCAGCCTGAGCGAGGAGCCTATGGTGATTTGCAGGCCAGCCACACTCCCTGACAACGCAATCAGAGGCCCTGGTATCTGGAATTTATTTACCTTCTACAAATGAAACTTTGTAGCCTCCTGCTTGCTCCATGGCAGCAGCCATTTCTGTTTGGATTTGTTTACCTTCTATAATTGAAACTTTGTATCCTTGAGTGGAGGCCTAGGCCAGCCAGGGCAGGTGGAAAACTTGGCTTCCTCTGTTGTCAGGGGCAACCCTAGCCTGCTCTCTCTAGCTCTGTGGCTGCCGCTATTTTTCTAGGGACTTATCTTCTATAATTGAAACTTTGTGTCCTTGAGTGGAGGCCTTGGCCCGCCAGGGTGTGTGGAAAGTTTGGCCTCCATTGCCGGGGAAACCCAAGTCTCTCAACTGCCCTCTGTGGCTGCAGCCATTTTGGTTATGGTTAATTTGCATATCCACTCTGATTGGTGGGTGTGGCTGGTGGGCGTGACTTGAGCAGAGTGATAGTAATTTGCATATTACTCTTCTATAAGGTAGGATGCATAGAGATTCTGCAGGTTTCAGCCAACATGGTTTTGCGCAAAGTTATTGTGTTACCGTTTTGTTTTGTTTTTTTTTGGATTACCGTAAACAACAGAAACATTTTCTTGCAGTAATAGAGACTACAAGTTCAAGCTCAGGGCGCTGGCTGGTTGGTTCTTTTAGGCCCCTCTCCTGGGCATGCAGTTGGCTGCTTCTGTGATCCCACATGACCATTTTTCATGCTGTCTCTCTCTTCCTCTCTCTCTCTGTATAAAAGGGCACCAGTCATATTGGATAATGTACCAATTTTTAAAATAAGAGAAAATGAATAGCCCTAAGAGTAGGTATTATCTATACTAAGTGTACCAGTTAATAATAGCAGATTTTGTAATAAAAACACGATAATTTCAAGAGAAATATCAAAAGTGCTTTATTCAAAGTAATGTCCATCACAAACTACACATTTCCCCATATTTTTGGTAATTTGTGGATACCGTGCCAATAGATCTTTTCTTATTTTGGGCAAACTATTCAGAGACCAAATTTCCCACTTCTTCATACATTTTGAAGTGCTGCTCAGAAAGTGCATATGCCATCAATTGGAACAAGTGGTAATCTGAAGGAGCAAGGTCTGGTGAATACGGCAGCTGGGTTAATACTTCCCAGGCAAGATCTTTTAATGTGTCTTTAACTGGTTTTAAAATGTGTGATGGTATGTTATAAAACAAAAATACTTTGCCATGTCTCATAGAACATTCTTGTTGTTTCACCATCAAAGCATGATTCAAATTCATTATTTGTTGTCAGTAGCGATCAGTATTAATAGTTTCACCTGGTTTTAGAAGCTCATAATCACCTTCCTGATCCCACCAAACATAGAGCATTGTCTTCTTTCCGAAGTGATTTGGCCTTGCAGTCGATGTTGATGGCTGATCTGGATCAATCCA